ATATATATATATATATATATATATATAATATATATATATATATATATATATAGACTGTTAATTGATCGCTTGCCAAACTCCCTACCTAGAGTAATTTCATTACCTCAGATTTACGGAGTCTACCTTTGAGACAGCCGCCTCCTCGTTTTTCAGCAAACATACCTCCTATCTATAAATATCCCTCCGTCTATAATTATGGTCAGTTTTTGTGTGTAGGGGAACGCGCTAATGGCCTGGGAGTTGAGACATTTTTATAACATAAATTTTATACCAAGAGAGGTAACTAGTAAGACGGGATTTATAAACAAAATATTCTGAGATTATCTCCCTTAAAGCGTTGGCGTCTAGTTGTGAAACGGAACAAAGGTGAGTGCACACACACACACACACACACACACACACACACACACACACACACACACACACACACACACACACACACACACACACACACACACACACACACACACTCCCACACACATTGTTTTAGTTGCGTATCTTTTTTAGGATATTGCAGAACCAACCCCAGTATTTTTTAGCTGTTGTAGTTTTTCTAGGCAAATTTACGTCCAGTAGTTTGCCATTTCTTTCTGGAAAGTCGGCTTTTCGATACGACTGTCGAAACCAACGCAAGGCACGCAACTGGGATCGAACCCGGCACCCCGGCGTTACGAAGAAAGTTCGCATCACTTAAAACTAGACGCCAACACACGTTGTAGACACTTTTTTTAAAAGCCTAAAGATAAGCTACGTTCGTCTGATTTTATGATCGAAAAATATAAGAAGGGCACTGATTTTGTTGTACGAATGATCTGCTTTTCACCCACATAATAATGTTGATATTCGTTCAATGATTTAGGTTGTTAGAAGGCTTGAGTTTAGCAGCCATGACACCACTGAAAACTAAACACAGTTCCTTTGCTTTGGAAGATAAATGTAATCAAGAAGTTATAATCAGAGCACCCATAAAGGCTACCTCAGCAAAATATAACCTGCAGTCCTATTCGGATGAGGGCTACACGGGCACAATGAATACATTCTGGACTACATAGCCGAACCAGTGAGCCGCCCTGGTGAAGCGGCTAGACGCTCAGCTGAGGATCATAAGTGCGTGGGTTCGGGTCCTGAGAGACTTTTCAAAAAATAACTGTGGCTACCAGGTCGACCCAGCCTTGAATGGGTACCAGGCGGAGTCTGGGAAGGAAAGGCGGCCAGAGTGATGCAGACCAAATCACCCACCAAGTGCCGATAGGTTTATAAAATATAGGTCTAGCCCTATATGCCCAATACGCCTGAAGGCATGAAAAAAATCCTTTACTTTCAAAAGTCAAACCAGTGAGGTACGCTAACTCGTATCAGCTACTGGTGTGTCCCAACGTTTCAGAGAACACACCACACCGACTTTGACAAAAAACAGACAGGTCTCACGTGAAGACAGCGGGCAAATGTAATCGACAGGACTGATATTTTTGTTAACCGTACAGAATGTGCACTTTGACCTTACATTCCAACAATCACGTTGGGGAGGGGGAAAAATTAATTTCCTTGTCAAGCCCGAACCAAACAGCATGCATAATTAAGTCTTCCCGGCCAGACACCCAGTAGCAGATTGGAATCTGCGGGGGGCTTGGGTTGAGAGGGCTTCAAGGAGGGGTGGGGTTGTGTGAGGAAACTAATTTGTGGGGAGGAGGTGTGGAGTTGGGTAGTAAGAATGCAGTCGCAGGGTGTGGAGTTGTGTCAGGAGAATGCAGGGGCGGGGTGTGGAGTTGTGTAGTAAGAATGCAGGGGCGGGGTGTGGAGTAGTGTAGTAAGAATACAGGGGCGGGGTGTGGAGTTGTCTCGGGAAAATACAGGGGCGGGGTGTGGAGTTGTGTCGGGAGAATACAGGGGCGGGGTGTGGAGTTGAGTAGGGAGAATACAGGGGCGGGGTGTGGAGTTGTGTAGGGAAGAATGCAGGGGCGGGGTGTGGAGTTGTGTAGGGAGACGTTACGGGCGGGGTGTAGATTTGTGTAGGAAGACGAAGCGGCGGGGTGTTGCATTGTGTAGGGAGGCATAAGGAGTGGGGTGTGGAGTTATGTAGGGATACGTTACGGGCGGGGTGTGGAGTTATGCAGGGAGACGTTACGGGCGGGGTGTGGAGTTATGTAGGGATACGTTACGGGCGGGGTGTGGAGTTATGCAGGGGAGGATGTGGAGTTGTGCTGGGAGAAGGTTTGTGTGATGCTGCGTACGGAGAATGTGGGTGAGGAGAGTGGCAAACTGTTATGTTGTAGGAAAGTAGAGGTGGAAGAGTATGGAGAGAGAGAGAGAGAGAGAGAGAGAGAGAGAGAGAGAGAGAGAGAGAGAGAGAGAGAGAGAGAGAAGAGAGAGAGAGAGAGAGAGAGAGAGAGAGAGAGAGAGAGAGAGAGAAGAGAGAGAGGTTGGGGGACGGGAGGTAGAGATATTAAATTGAAAGCAAAGCGATGAACACGATTGAAAACTTTATTAGTGGCACAAAAAGTTAATGGAAAAGTCTAGAAAATTAACCTTATTAAAGAGCAAAAATGTAAACTTTTCTTTAGTCTGCAGATTTGTGAATTAGTGTCAACGAAACAAGTCACTAATGAGTTAATTCCAAATGACGTTTGACAAGATTATGGGGGAAATTCTATTTTCCAGCGCATTTCTTCGGGGAATGGTAAATAACCTGTTAATTCCCTTGAACACGCGAAATGCTGCTTGATAAGACAAATAATCACGTTTAAAAAAAGGCTTTTGATGCACTCTGTTCATTCTCAGTTACAGGTGAACAAGAACTACACAGAGACAAGTCTGGCTGTTTATCTTTCACAGCTGCAAGACTGACACACCTGCGACTCAAATAGTCACATTCGGCATGGCAGTCCAACAGAGCAAACCCTATTCATCTCTCTAAAACCCTTAGAAAGTTGTAATTATTGCACCGTGTACAAGTCGGAGGAGCTAATGGATCACCACATTTGTGAGAGTTATGCATGCTTTATGTGACGAGGGGATCTGGTCACATTTGTGAGAGTCATGCATGCTTTGAGTGACGAGGGGATCTGGTCACATTTGTGAGAGTTATGCATGCTTTGAGTGACGAGGGGATCTGGTCACATTTGTGAGAGTTATGCATGCTTTGAGTGACGAGGGGATCTGGTCACATTTGTGAGAGTCATGCATGCTTTGAGTGACGAGGGGATCTGGTCACATTTGTGAGAGTTATGCATGCTTTGGGTGACGAGGGGATCTGGTCACATTTGTGAGAGTTATGCATGCTTTGGGTGACGAGGGGATCTGGTCACATTTGTGAGAGTTATGCATGCTTTGGGGTGACGAGGGGATCTGGTCACATTTGTGGGAGTTATGCATGCTTTGGGTGACGAGGGGATCTGGTCACATTTGTGAGAGTTATGCATGCTTTGGGTGACGAGGGGATCTGGTCACATTTGTGAGAGTTATGCATGCTTTGGGTGACGAGGGGATCTGGTCACATTTGTGAGAGTTATGCATGCTTTGGATGACGAGGGGATCTGGTCACATTTGTGAGAGTTATGCATGCTTTGAGTGACGAGGGGATCTGGTCGATGCTCGACTATCAGAGAAAAGGCAAGACGAGGTATAATCAAAATGTTGTTGCGCCGCTGGTATTGGAACTCTGCGCTGGATGCTGAAGATAGGGACGGAGCGCTTATGGGAACGCTCCGAGTGCTGTGATGTCGATTGTTGAATCAACTCAATTATTGCACCTGTAACGAGGACATGTTTAGAGGAAGGCCAAGGAGAAGATGGGTGCAGGATGTGGCAGATGATCTCCAGATGGGTGTATCAGACGCAGGACATCTTGCTCATGATAGGAAGGTTTTCCGGAGGGTTGTTATGGCAGCGAGGTTCCGCGAGGGACATGCTACTGAATGAATGAATGAATGAACGAGGACACCAAGGTGATACGCTGGTGAATCCTACTGATCTGTGCTTGTAAAGTAAAGGTTTTAACCTCACTCCCCCTTTTTTTTAAAACGCAGATTGGACATATAGGGCTAGATTTATTTTACAGACAAGTTGATACTCGGTGGGTGATGTGGTCAACATCATGGCGGCCGCCTTTACTTCCCAGGACTTTATCTGGTACCCAGGGCCAACCTGGAAGCTAAGGTTATTTTGTGGAGAGAAGAGAGTCCCGCTCCCTACAGATTTGAACCGACGACCTTTTGATGCACAAGCGAGCGTTTAGCCGTTACGGTAAAAAAAAAAAGTCTAATTATCTTTGGATTACAACTGGAGACACCTGGTTAGATAATACGTTTCTCGATGATTATTCAAATAAGCGCCTCTAGAAACATTTATGGTGCTTTATTAATATCCTACCCCCAGATAACGTCACAGGACAGTCCAACATTTTAGAGGGTGGTAAGACTGGGTTTCCCGGCTTTCTGATGCTTTTAACGACCAAAAAACATCTAGAACTGGTTCTAAAACAAACCACCTGTCCCACGAGAGAGAGCAGCCTAGGTCCCATGACTACATGCAGCCTAGGTCCCACGACTGCATACAGCCCATCTATCACCCCATAAAATATTAGATGTCCCGTGACCTGTGGATTTCCCCTGTTTGGGGTAGGATATCAATAAAGCACCGCATTTACTGCCACACAAAAAACAAACGCAGATGCTGCATAAGGAGTGTGAAGACTGCAGGAATGTTTCGTTAAAGCATACGGGTGTGTTACATATACCAATATTTAAAAAAAAAAAAAATGGCATTTTTGAGAATAAATATAAAGGGGGATGGTACATAGTATCCTTTTGGCAAACTGAAATACTTTGGCTAAATAAACGCCAGAAAAGTTTAGATCAGTGGCTCTCAACCTTCCTAACGCCGCGACCCTTTATTATAGTTCTTCATATTGTGGTGATCCCCAGTTATAATTTTTTTCTCCTTGCTATTTCAAAACTTCAGTGAATATGTGTTTTCCAATGGACGACACGTGTGAAATGGTCCTAAAGGGGTCGCGACCCACAAGCCACGGCTAGTTCAGATGGTATTACAAAAAGAAATAAATGTGAATCTGTGGCGTATACAAGATACGGGACATCATGGGCGTGAATGTCATGAGCTGGGAAGGACGCGATGAGCAAGGGATTTGCAACATGCTGGTGATGCTGAGTTCAATACCGCTTCTGAATGGTGCACAGCATATATCGTCAAATGTGTTATTTTAGTACACACATCCAATTCTTTAGAATGTAAATTTCTCAGGAGGCAGATTAAGAAACAAACACACAAGACTTACCTATTCTGTTCCTGTCGTCTTCGTCATCGCCCCCAGCACCACTTCCGCTTCCGGAGTTCCTGTCAACAAAGTCCTCGTCGTCGATAATGACATCTCGGCCGGTGTTATAGCTACCGCCTCCGCTACCAACCACTGCTGTTTTGTACGACTGGTCACTCAACATCAGCTCTTCGTTATGGAGGGCGCTCAGGTTCTGAGGATGATAAACATAAATGTAAAATACATGTACACTGCAAATACAATCAATGTAAACTAAGAAAGGACTTTTGTTCAGCATCGCCACAACTATGTCTGCAGTTAGCTTTTTAAACTCTGAAATATAAAAATACTAAATCGTCTGCCCCGGATTTCGTTTGTTTCGGAAATAGAAGAAGAAGAAGAAAAAGAAGAAGAAGAAGAAGAAGAAGAAGAAGAAGAAGAAGAAGAAGAAGAAGAAGAAGAAGAAGAAGAAGAAGAAGAAGAAGAAGAAGAAGAAGAAGAAGAGGCATGGGAGGAGGAGGAGGATGAGAATAAGAATAATAATAAGAAGAAGAAAAAAAAAGAAGAAAAAGAAAATAATGATGATGATTGATGACGATAATAAAGATGTTGGACATTTTGGCATCATGGCATGGGGAGAGAAAAAAAATCCCTCTCAGAAACAAAAGGCAGTTAATGACATGACAACCAACGCCACATTGCATGGCCTACAAGAACAAAAGCTTACTTCATGAACTTTGTCAAAGCTCGGCTGAACACACAAAATGTTGGCGGGTGGACACAGTCCGACAGAGGCAGGATTTGTACAACCCCCTAGCTGTATCTATACAATATAAACTACCAAGCCTACCCAAAATAGAATATTTATAGCACGTAAATATCTCACCAAGCCAGAGACGCCAAGGGAAAACAGCCACATTAACTTCCCAAATACAAGCTCAGCGGCAATCATAAAGCTAGTTGTTTAGTATAACGACGCCATGAAACAAATTCATCCAGAATTCTTACGAAATAACCTGAACGAATGAATGAGTTACAAGTCTGAAGCTGCAAATGTATTGACTCACACAGTTAACGCAATAGACAGGCTTGTTTCTGCAAAGACCACAGAATTAAATGACAGAAAATTTGTCTTCCCTGCGCAAAGGCCATGCTAACACGTTCCAGAGATCGATTGATCCCAATTTTCCACAAAACAATTCGCGCCTATTCTGTGTGTGTGCATGCCGTTTTGGGTAATAGAATTCCCGGTGCCCAGAAAGAATACTTCGACATGCTAGGATCCACATGAAAGAAAATATATTATATACATAAAACAAGCGGGTGACCCCTAGCCCTTGTATAAAAGCAGACATTGGTGTTTTCTTCAGAGGACAACAAATCTGCATTCAGGTTATATCCAGGGGAAAGAAGCAGTAACTGACAACTGACTGGTAACAGGAGGTGAGGTTTTGGCAAGTCGAATTGAGGCTTTTCAGATGCGGTCTTCACAGAAAAAGCTACAGTGTGCTTTTCCCCGCAGTTCACATATGGTGCTAGATTCTTCTTCTTCTTCTTTGCGTTCGCTGGCTATAAACTCCAGCGGAAGGCTCTGGATGTTCGTCTATCTCCAGACTTTAGTCTTGTTCCAGAGCCTCAGTGTTGGGTGCAGATACGTTTTACAGATCTGTCTTATTAGTATGCAGACTGTTGGTCCTTGCTTCTTTAACAGCTGTACTCCGATTTTAAAGGCTGTCCCCAATAAGTATACCCCTACGACATGCTTGTTGGGGAGACAATGGGTCTATTCTTGTTTTCTTCACAATAAGCCCCGGAACCCACACGGGGAGGTGCTAGATTCAGGTTTAGCCATGGTAAATAAGCAATATCTGTAGAGCGATAACCAGTCTCAGATGAAGGATTTATCAAAGGCCGAAAATGAGGCTTGCCCCAGCTGTGGAAGCCAAAGGAAGCGTACATGACCGCTTTAAGCCAGTAGGGTTTCAGGTATATAGTGCTAAACCCACATTCTTGTGGTAAAACAGCACACAATTATGATCTGGTCAACATCACGACTGGCTGTCTTTACTTCCCAGAAAATTTCTGGTACCCACTTTACACTGGAGCCATCTGGAAAACCTGGGACAAGTAGATTTACAGACCTCGCTTGAACAAAAAATGAACACACACGGAGGTTCCTGGAAAACTGGGAAGGAAAAAAGGCCGATGAAAAAAATTTGAAAGGTGAAAAGTGAAATTATTCAGCAACGTTGAAAGTTCTACCACTCATTTAAAGACCGCATGAGATTGTTCAGCAAGGGATAGACACCAGTACAAGCGAGGGATAACACGTTTCTTATTACTAACAGGGAGCTTGGAAAAAATACCTTTAACCCGTTCACTCAATTATTAGGCGTACTACGTTTCATGTTGTACTGCAAATACCCCCCCCCCCCCGCTTTTCCCCAACAGATCACTCAAGACAGAGGTCAAGAACCTAAACATTTACATAAACGCGTATCCCATCCCTTTATTGTGGATCTGTTGTCAGTTTAAATTTCCTTCCGCCCTCCTTGGCAAGTACATCTGTCTTCTCATGTTGGCACATTTCCCCCTGGGCAGAGAGCCACTATACCACGCATTCACTGCTTTGTTGTATAAGTACTTCAGGCAAGTGGTACGACACAAAGAGACCTAGTCCAGAAACACGTTGACATACCCGATAATGGTTGTAATACCGTAATTGTGCCTATCTGTCCTTTTGATTTCCCTGGAGATTCTGGAAGCGCAAGAGAGCTCCTATTTCGGGACTTGAAAGTATCAGATGGAAATATTGACTTCCGGGACTCCTCCCTGGGAGAGCACTCGCTGTAATTAGTTCATGTGACGAGCATTATAGCGAGGGTAGAGAGAGTTTGTATCAGGCGAAGGAATGGTTTCCATCTTGTTTGAATTCTTGGTGTTAGTTCCAAGCGATCATATTTTTATTACCATCAGTCTGGGAGGCACATTTATGATCGTTATAGTGCTTGGCGATATTGGCCGAACTGGTGTATTTTATTGGGTTTGTAATATTGGTCCAACTCTGTATGTTTATATCGCTATTAAAAAGGATTGGTAACATTATATTTACTGTGTATTTTTATGTACCTTAAGGGATTGCTCATTTTGGACCAAGTGTGTACTTTTATGTAACTTTTAGGATTGGACATACCGGCTTTTTCGTCTTCTGCTTTATCTGAAGACGTAAATGCGTTGTGCCCTTTTACATGGCTGTGATATTTTCACCTTTTGGCCGACACAGCTGACTTCCGCAGGTATTTACTGTCTGTGATAGCCTTCAAGGAAACCAACTGGTCTAACTGTACATTTTTATTAAGCTATGACACGATTTCTCATACTTGAATGGTTGCGAACCTTTTATGAAACTTTTAAGGGCAGATTATATTGGCTCAGCGTGTACTTTTTCAAGCCATTAGAAAGGACTGGTTTTGGCCCAGCTTTACTAAATCCGGTTTGAACTCTAATTGTTTATGTTTATCACAGACACTGGGCAAGGCTTCATGGTGAAGATTATGATAAGCCTATTTACACAACGTTTTAGATCATGCTCTGCGATCAGGCTAAGGCACTGATGGGGGTTCTGAGTGTGATTTTGCTGACCCCGTTAGATCTACAATGTGATACTGTCCGGTCACTTACCCGCTTCATGTGTGCTAAAGTGTCCTTGACCTGTAGCAAGGTAGAATCAGGGATCAAGGTAATCCGGACCTCCATGTTATGCGTGGCTTGTGAAATGATATTAACCTCAGGTACTTCTCTCAGATATCTGAAAACAATGGAATAAAATAATCAAACTCTCATGTATTAAACGAACATTAATTGAAGACATGGGTAGATAGAGAGTGTATCAATGAGACGTAACTCACAACCAAAATACTGAAACTACATCCACAAGAAATTCAAAGGCGTCATTACATTGCCTGGGTCTGGCTTAAGAGAAAAATAACATGGTAGCAGTATTTGGCAGATAAGTCGGTAGATGGGCCGATAGACAAGTATAAAGGTAGGCAGGTGGACCGGCAGACAAGTATATAGGTAGGCAGGTGGACCGATAGACAAGTACATAGGTAGGCAGGTGGACCGGCAGACAAGTATATAGGTAGGCAGGTGGACCGGCAGACAAGTATAGGTGAATAGGTAGACATTTGGGTAGGTAGGTAGACAGGTAGAAATGACATTAGGTAAGCAGGTAGAAATTATGTAAGTACGTGGGTAGACATATGGGTAGGCAAATGGGCAGGTACATAGTTAGGTAAATATGTCAATAGACAGGTATGTAGACAGGCAGGGAGATGGGTAGACATACAATAGTCTTTACAAAATAATGCATATACAAAAACCAAATAAGGGAACGTCAATGCATAGTCTTGGGTGTGGACATAAACCCCAGGGTTACAACGCCCCTGACAAATACAATTGCAACGGACACACAGAAATGAACCCAACAGATCCCTATTGCCATATTATTGTTCTTGCTTCTCCAATGTCCCGCCTACCATCTCTTTAACTACGTGCACTGCATAACTTTTAGCAGACCCCACCAGCGCTAATGACCATCTTGTCCCAACAAATATTATCTCCAGCCTGCTGTTTGTTTTGTCCCGTCTCCATGTCACAAATGACAAATAGTTCCATGACACTTGGCCAAGTTTGGCCTCGTTTGCCCAACCCGGCACATCGTAAACCATGCAGGAAATTGAGGCATGTCACGAGGTGGACAGATAATTGATGAGGAGTCGGATCGCTGCTAAAAAAAAATGTACGCCATATTTGCTATTTATAATGGAACAGAGAGCTGGTATCATCTGTGCAAGGATATTTAAAAAAAAAATATTACACAGAGGTTCTTAATCTAGGGTTTGGGGTCGACGCATACATTTCGGAAATCAGCGAGTGTGCTTATTGTTACTGTTATTGGTGCTGCTGTGTTTATTGTTATATTTGTTATTATTATATTTTTTTTTCCCAACAGAACGGGAGGGAACTATTGTCTATACAGGGACATGTTGAAAAGAAACATGTAAGAAATTTTTAATCTATAATCTATTGTTAAATTCAGCCGATTTCTCTAGAATTACTGAACCAGTATACTGTAAGAGAAATGAACACAAACGCAGGCAAAACTGAGCACACCCTAATTGTTCTGGAAGATTCCAGTGACCTAGCTTCGTCCTTTATGTGTACCGACACTGGGATCCCAGACGGACACGGGTCCCAAGGGACATCTTTGCTCTGAGCGTCAGCTGCTTGAACTTTCTTGAAAGCTGACGAGTGGATGGTAATTAGGTCACAAGGGACCAGACAAACAATCTGTTGCTGCTGTTTTCCGGAAACGGAAGTTCGGCTAAATCAGACCGGAAGCGTTGGTTAGACCAAGAGGGAGAGTATGTACTGTTTCATAATTGTGGGAATTTATCGCTAGTGGTCGATTTATGTTCACTTTATCGCCAGAATAGGGAACAATTTCTTTGACTTTCCTGTGAAGAGTGCACGAGGCATGGTGTTTGTTTGACTACCTGTCTACTTGTCTATTCATACATCTATCGACTCATCGACCCATCATTTATACATTAGGCTATAAGATTGCTTGTGTAAACACTGAGACCCTTGTGTTTTGAATAAACATCCAACATTTCTTTTTGTGTTTACACAATTATAGCATAATAGCGTCTTCCTCAAATTCAAATGGAAAATTGTACAGAGGAAAATAGAAAGAATAAAAAAAAAAGAAAGAAAGAAAAAAAGAAAAAAAAAAAAGAAAAAAATCAAGACTTAGCCACACAAGACCAAATAAGTATTTGCCTTCCCCCACATCTCGCAAATGAGACTAGGGCGGACAATTTGGCACACACGGCTAAATATGTACCTAATTAACCCCCCTTGCAACGTCTGCCCTGACACTGCTAGTGGTTACGTCACTAGCTCCTAAATAGATAAGGCTTTCTATGATTACCTTTCATTCAGTCTTGCCCCCAAACCGATTTTCATATGGCACTGAACCATTTGCGAACCACTGGTGGCTGTTATAGTATAGATGTCTGAGAGTATAGTGATTTCAGACAAGAAGTATTCAGGAGTCAAGTCCTGTTTTCTTAGAGACATGTACCCACACATGTTTTTGAGGCTATAGTCTAAATCAGTGAATTCATGGAGTGTCGTCTTCACAATAAAGGTTTTCTTAGACACACTGCAAACTAAAATTTGTAACAGGAAACTCAAATTCTTATGATTTTAGGAGGCCAGCGATTCAAAGTGAGGACAACAGTTGACTATTTACTGTAAAGTATCTGAGACAGTCCAATGATGATCATCATCATCATCACGTGCCCTGTCAACTGGCGTAGGCGCTCATGCGTCTCCACAGATCACGATCCCTGGATGCCTAGAACAGCTCTTTTGATGATATCCCTCAATGCCATCGTTTCAGCCTATCCAGCATCTTCTCTCTTGGTCTACCTCTACCCCTTTTTCCACTGATCTTTCCAGTTGTCACGATGTTCTCCAATGTCTCTCTTCTCATTATGTAGCTAAAAAACAGTGTTTGTCTCTTTCTTATTGTAGTATATAGAGATCTACTTTCATTAGCTTTTTAAGCAAATCGTTGTTAGTTACTCTGGCCGTCCAAGGTATTCGTAAAATTCGTCTTAGAAACCACATCTCTGTTAGTCCAATACACTTCACACACAAAAGATTCTTACCTGCCAACGGCCGAACCGTTCCAGCAGTGCTGACTCTGCATCTCTTGCTCATAAACGGACGGCGTCCGGCATAAACCGTCGGCGATTCTCTGGAAGAAGCCCTTAGACTCTTCCAACTCGGCGATCAGGGAGGCGATGTCCTTTCTGATGGACTGTATTCGGTTGCTGGGGTGTGACAGCAGCATGCCCTCCGGCGTAAAGAACTTCTTGTACAAATCGGAATCACTCACCGAATGGGATGGCACCTTACACAGCTCCTGCACCTGTGGAGGCGAAGATACAATTTTAATTATTTCATTTCATCAATAAAGTTAGTTTGATGATTTGATTTTGGGAGGCATGATGATTTGATTTTGGGAGGCACTCTTAAAACTGACAGAAGGAAAAAAAGTGGTGGTGCGGATACAGTGACAGTATTTCTTCTTCATCGTTCCTGTACCCCAGATTAGAAGGCGAGCTTTCAACCAACTCACAGCACGCCAAGCAATCTAACATTTTGCCATCTCCCTCAGCTTTGTTCATAAGTAAGTAAAGTATTGGGTATACAGGGCTAGACCTATATTTAACAGATCTATCGGCACTTGATGGCTGATGTGGTCAGCATGACGCTGTCTGCCTTTGCTTCCCAGGCCTCCTGGCACCCCTTCAAGACTAGGTCGACCTGGACACCTAGGTTATTTTCTAAAGAAGAAAAAAAAAGGCCGGTACCGTCAGAACCCAAACCCACGACCTTCCGCTCCGCAGGCTGCACCACGGCGGCTCTTAGCTTTGTTCATAACTCTCCGTTTTGTTCGGATGCCTATTTCCAGAGTGTTTTAGATCTCCGTTTTGTTCGGATGCCTATTTCCAGAGTGTTTTAGATCTCCGTATTGTTCGGATGCCTATTTCCAGAGTGTTTTAGATCTCCGTAAATTTCTTTTGCTGCTTGAACCTCCGTGGCAAATTGTTTCTTTACTCAAACTTTAAATGGGGTCTACAATATGTTCCTCAAATAATGACTCATCTTTGCTAATTTGCCTCAGATATCGACCTACTTTTAGAACGTTTTTTCCACACAACGACTCTTTCCGCGATATTAACCTGAAACAATGACCCCTTTTCGCGATATTAACCTGAAACAATGACCCCTTTCCGCGATATTCACCCGAAACATGGCCCCTTTCAACGATATTCACCTTAAACAATGACCGCCTTTATCAATATTCTCCATGAGAACTCCTTTGCCGCGATATTCGCCTTAAACCACGACCCACTTCCGCGATATTCGCCTTAAATGACGACCCTTCCTGCTAAATATCTCTACATATTCCTTCCCAATCTCATGCCAGGATCAATGCCTTGATTCACAGAACCCCTTTGCACTTTAATCTTGCAGCCATCATGTTTCCTGTGAATCATATATTTTTGACGCCTTACGAAGATATCTCATGTCGGAATTTGGCTGCTTGTATTAGTCATTATAAGCTTGCCCGATTATAATACTGATATGTTTTCGATTTTCTTATGTTTATCATCATCATCGCAATCGTCATCATATTTAGATAGCTATTCGAATATTATTTAGTGGTGATAGTTTTGAGAAACGCTCACCTGGGGTTGGTTTGAGGACTACCGGTATCCTTAATTGTTTAAAATGATTGGTATACCTCGGGTTATCTCAGATTATTGGTAAGTTGAATTATTTCATGGTATACCCGGAATGGTTGTTCAATATCTTTACGCCAGGGTGATTTAAGATTAAAGAGGATTACTTTACGATCACTGGTAGGAGCAGATGTTGTGCGTCGTTTGTTTATTTCCATTGCAGATATACTTTTGTATATACATCGAGCGGAAAGGTATCGCGTTCGTGCTTCAGTAGACCCGTCATGGGGAAATCCCAAGAGACTGGCTGAATGTGATACACGACTTTACCTTCAGACTACGTCTAATGTGAAACTCGACTTTACCTTCAGACTACATCTAATGTGACACACGACTTTACCTTCAGATCACGTCTAATGTGACACGTGACTTTACCTTCAGACTACGTCTAATGTGACACACGACTTTACCTTTAGACTACGTCTAATGTGACACACGACTTTACCTTTAGACTACGTCTAATGTGACAAACGACTTTACCTTTAGACTACGTCTAATGTGACACACGAATTTACCTTCAGACTACGTCTAATGTAACACACGACTTCACCTTTAGACTACTTCTAATGTAACACAAGACTTTACCTTCAGACTATGTCTAATGTGACACACGACTTTACCTTTAGACTACGTCTAATGTGACACACGACTTTACCTTTAGACTAAGTCTAATGTGACACACGACTTTACCTTCAGACTACGTCTAATGTTACACACGACTTCACCTTTAGACTACTTCTAATGTGACACAAGACTTTACCTTTAGACTACGTCTAATGTGACACACGACTTTACCTTCAGACTAAGTCTAATGTGACACACGACTTTACCTTTAGACTATGTCTAATGTGACACACGACTTTACCTTTAGACTATGTCTAATGTGACACACGACTTTACCTTCAGACTAAGTCTAATGTGACACACGACTTTACCTTCAGACTACATCTGAGGGCAGTCTGTCTGAGCGAGTCCTACTGACCGGACCATTTAGTTCATAGCGCTGGCCAGTATTGTGGTCCAGTCGCTTTATGCTGCAACATGTTTTACAATGTTGAGTTGAGTTAAGTCAAGAATTGGCATCCCATCTCATGCGTGCTCCGTTCTCATCTTTAGCAGCTAGCGCAGAGTTCCAGTACTGATGGTACCGGTCACAAGCTGATTATATGTCCGTCTGACCTTTCCTCTGAGTGTAGTGAGCCGTTCAGACCCTCTGGTTACACCCAGGTGCCTCATTCTTTCCAGGTCATAATAATCTTGCTTCTCTAATGTTTCTGTTGCTTGTCCCAAAAGGGCACTGACCCATCTGCCTTGTCATGTATCAATTCGTCACCCAGTGATGAAGATCTAGCCAATCTTGATTTACAATGCTAGACCAATTATTTTTTAATTGTCACTTGTATAGATTATTGCTAATACTTTAGCACACTCCAAGTTTTTTTTTTAAAATCATGGTTGCCATGGCAACAGCCGCCGTCTTGGTGAAAAACACTATTTAGAATCCTAAAATCAGGTGTTTTGGTTTAACGGACATTGTACAGTTGAGTTGTTTCTGATGTCCTGGGACTCTCGGGTCAGGTACCCGTTATAGTGCATCTGTTTTCAGTTATATTGTCTTTCGGCGAGAAGACCGAAATAGTTATTTCTTCAGACGTTTTCATGTCAGGTGGCTTATTTTGCACCATTTCAGTATGGTTACCGTGTCCACGATAATGGCTGGACACCGGCTTGTTGGCCAGCACTAAAAGGGCTGTTTTACACCTGTAGGTATTTGGCGAGCAGCTAGCTTCCTTTTGCCCGCTTCCCCAACAAGTGCAGTCCAGCGTACACTGGAACTTCATTACTGAAGTATTGAATGACCCCAGTCTTCATAGAAGACGACATGGTTTCTCGACCTACATGCCCGAGCATGTCGTTGATGAAGCGAGAATATTAATATTATTGTTGAGCAACTGAATCTTTTGTTGATTATCAGAGACAGTCAGACGTTCATCACAGTTCACTACTCATCGTTAAGTGTACTAAATATGGTGCCCAACGAATATCCAGCTTGAGAAGTGTCGTCTGTTGCAGTGGCAGTAATGTGCAGTTGTAACTTGTAGATATAATGACTTGTTGCCCTTCTGGTTGTGTATAATGAGGCAGTTCCATACACCATAGCCTAGATAATTGTTTGACTAGTATAACTTTACCTGCTGGACAAAGTATTGCGGTATGCTGTGTTTGTAATTGTTAACATGTTTGTTATTCAACCTATGCTTGGTTACTATACATTTGTGTAACCTACTGTGCCATTTCCATGGTTTGAGATTAATTATGTCCATTCTTATGGATTTCAAGCTGTACGATAGACATGGTCAATGAAGACACCTTTTTCAAAGGGTGCTTAGTTGGTCATGTTCTTAGTGCACTTGTTTCCATATCAAGACACACGCCATCTGGAGGTGACAGGTTTGGTTCCCGGCACGATAACTAAAAAAAAAAAATATACCCACAGCCTCCCAACAAGCATGTGGTAAGAGTCGACTGAATGTTTCCTTCGAAGTCAGAGTACATCTGCCTGACAGACAAAAAACCAACAGTCTGCGAGCCAACAAACAAGATCTGTAAAACGAATGTGCTCGCAACACTCAGGATCGAAGATTACCGGCATGCTAGCGGTGATACAAATAACAGGTATGCTATAATCACTAAAGATTAAAGATGTAATAGAATCACTAAAGATTACAGACAGTAAGCGATAATTTACAACTACATTTATGGTGAATTATGTCTCCAGACGAACTGAACATATGATCTGCACCGAGCCGAACCAGTACAACAACTGCAGCAAGATGATGTTTGCCTGCAATTTGAGACGGTGCTTGTCAGATTAATTCTCCTAACTTTTGCCTGCAAGTACATGGCGTCTAGATTCTCTTCATTCTTTAGCTTAGATTAAAATTGCTCTTTAAAATAAGTAGTGCCCATTAAAATGCATTATGTTAGAGAAAGAGATAGAGAGGGTGGGGAAGAGGGAGAGAAAGGGAGGGAGGGAGAGAGAACAGAATAAGAACGATGGGAGCAAGAGGTTAAGGAAAACAAGTAGTGGGCAGACGCGGGGGAGGGGGGGGGGTGGCATTTTAATTAATATATGATGATGCTACACGTTTACCACGTTTCTATCCCCCACCCCACCCCACCACCCCTTTTCCCCCACCCATTTTTTTTCTCATTCAATCACAATGAATGTTGACATTTTGTGCGCCAAGAATTAATTCCACCTATCATTACCGCGCACACACACACATATACACACACACACACACAAACGAAGACCAAAACCAACCACTCACCCTACCAACCCTCTACCTACCCACTCAACCAACCTACCGACCAACAAACAACCGTACAGACAGGCAGGCTGACTAAACATTGATTCAGTAAGGTGTTAGACAGGTATGTAGACTCTAGACTGGTCTAGCGTACGAGAGAGAAATTGTTACCTGATTGTAAGGAGGTGTATGTGTGTGTGGGGAGAAGGAGGGGGGGTGTTAAAACTGATCGGTCCACCCACAATATAAGCTTGTAACATAATAACACCGGAAACATTTCAAGTTCGTGTTGATGCATACTCTAC